TATGATTGTTCTCGAACGAAGGGGATGTTGTGGTTGGCTCAATATTGCTGTCCAATCGATGGTTACTGATGAAACTTCAGCGACATGGTGAGACGACAACACTCTACACATTTTCCTTACAAGAACTGCTATAAACAAAATGTGCAAGAACGTTACAATATAGTGTACATATGCGATATAGTTCAAGGTCAATCTATGCATTGTGAGCTTCACTCTGCCTACATTAGCTCCGTTACCATAGCAACATTCCCGATATTTTTTAATCAAATCTCGTATATATTATACATACGAAATCTGATAAAAAAGCATCTGTCAAAAGAAAACAACAACACATATTAATTCGACATTTAATCTCCTTCGAAATTTTCCCCTTCTTAAATTACACACTTTTTTCAACATCGTTTCTATTGATGAACACATTCTTGGAACTCTTTTTCGGCGATAGCGAGCAGCAGCCTTGTGGCATTCTCCTGAATTTCTTCGACGTCATGAAATCTCATTCCTTTCAAGTGTGATTTGATTTTAAAGAGTATAAATTCGAGCATCCTCCTGATAACCATTTAAAAATAACGTTTTAACAAATGAATTAAAAATATGTCAGAATTAAGTCAATTTTTTAAAAAAATGCCTTTATTTACATTAGAATACTTAACTGTACAGATATTGATAATTCATGAATCGGCAGGTATGTGTTCAAATCAAAACTCGGGCTTTGTTTAATCAGGAGATCCTCCATGACCAAGTTGGTCTAAGGCACACCAGATATAATGATGGTTTCTCTTAAGGGACACATGTTCGAATCCAATCGGAGGACGAATATTTTACTAACAAGATTTCTTGTATATTCAGGCCCCGGTAGATACAACTATACTGTTTAATAAATAAATAAAAATAGAACATCTAATCAAATATGAGTATCCATTTAAGAATTACGTTTAAAAAATAATATATATGTTCTTTAGAAGGAACCGGAAATCCAGTCCTAAACAGTAAAGAAGAGATAAATCTCTACTCCAGCTGAGAGCTGGACCGGGTATATATATATATATATATATATATATATATATATATATCATATATATATAGACTATTTCGCTTATCACAGCTCTTCAGAGTGGCTAGACGTCCGGTTGCCTCTAGCTACTATCAAAACCCGGCTGATTTAGCGTCAGTCGGAGATTCTACCACTAAGCTGCCGGTGAAAGTGAATATTTATTTTTAGATAAACACACAGTAACAGTGTAATTTACACCCCAACCTTACCCTGACTTGACATCTGTGAATGTAACTTTATACTGATACAAATTATTAATACCTTACGCCCCTTTTTCTTTAAACAATGGCTCTAGCCGTTACCATAGAAATTTTGATTTCAATAATGAATATGCTATTAAAACACGTAAATTTTAGAAATATGTTATTCCAAAAAAAAAAAAATCGCTTAAATATGGAACAGAGCTTACTTTAATTCAATTTAATTCAAATAATTATATTGAAGTTTTCGGCTCTTGTTTTGAAACATGAGAACTCTTATGTATCGTGTTGGAATCATATTTTTAAATAAATAATTATATTTATGCTCTACTTTTGTATCGAGCACTATTTTTTAAAAATAATAACAAAAATACTAAAGAACTTTGGATTGTTTACCTAACGAGTTCTTTCCTATTTTCTTTATATTTTCACACACACACACACACACACACACACACACACACACACACACACATATATAATATATATATATATATATATATATATATATATACAATTTTACATTCAAACGGAATTTTATGGCCAGATTTGTCTCTTCTTAGCGGTTATCATCTCCTCCTCTTCCCATGGCCTCTTTCTTTTTCTTTTTCTTTTTCTCTCTCTCCCCTTTTCTCTTCCTTTCTCTGTTTTCTTTTTTCCCTTTCTTTGGTTCGCCCGCAATTACTAATGACTTAGATTCCCTTCCATTTACACATGAAAATTCTAGAATATATCTTATGAAAATATCCAAAGAACGGAAGTTGGTGATATTTGCTTCGATAACTGTATATCTGAATAAAAGTTTTTCGTAACATCGTGATTCCTTACCTGATGAGACGTTTAAAAAAGGTTTTTCTTTTTTGACGTTGAAACAAAAATATACAATTTTGTAGTGGATTGTATATTTTTGTTTCAACGTCAAAAAAGAAAAATGGCAGTATATGCTCTTGGAAATATGAGAGAAAAATATTAAAAGCTCAAAATTTTTTTTCAGCGTGTTACCAATAAAATTTAGAGGCACAGAAAAAATTAAGGAATGACCTGCCTAATGAGATTGTGTAAATGGTTGGCAGAACAGGGATTTTAGAAACAATACCTTCCTAAGTTTCTTTGTTTTCACACACACACAAACATGCAAACACATACACACACATATACATGGTGTCTTCATTTTTTTTTTATTATTAAGACTTCCACTATATTTTCTAGAGTTAGATGAGTGTATTACCTTTTTGTTTTCTTCGACTATGTGGCGGATAAAGGCCGTTGGCATCCGTATTAATTTAAATGAGACCTAATAGATCTCTGAACAGAGAGATGCAAAGTAAGTCTTCGTGATAGGCATGTAGTTGTATGACCGATTTAATTATTAATAATGAAATTGGATTGCAGTTGTCTAACGGCCATGTCATTTCATAAATAATGTTGTTCCTCTGTCATTTGAAATTTTCTGGTGATTTGTTTGTGTTGACGATGACATTGGATGTTCTAAAGATTTTTAATAATAGATAATAACCTAATCGTCTTGTTATGGTAGACTAGACTATTTAATAATGTTTCTAAGAGAAAATCCGTCCTGCTTATAATTTACGTGAAGTTAATTTTTATAGAAAGTGTATTTTTTTTTCTTTTTTCTTTATTTTCGGGCTTGTTATTACTTACTTTAAGTACACATATTCCATTTAGGAAACTGCGTTTTTGGTGAAACTTGCTAGGAATAACATGGACTAAATATCTGAGAAAACGACCAAGTCTTTAGAGAAAATAGAAACATAAAACTATACTTATACATAGAATGAGAAAGAGGCAATTGAAATTCGTAGGGCGCATAAAGCGGAAATAGGGCTTGAAAAATTCAACACTCACAGGACCTGTTGAACGTAAGACGCACAGAGAAATGCAGAGAATAATCTACCTAAAGTATTTGAGTAAATGATTCGCAGAACAGGGATTAGAAGAGATAGGAAAAAAGATAAAAACTTCCTAAGAGCTACAAAGGATAGGAAGCTGTGGAGAACCATGACTGCCAATATCTTGAAGAAACCAGCGCGTAGTTGATGCAAGTTTATTTTATCAGTCATCATCATCATTGCTGTAATCATTTTTACTAAGTTTCTTTGCTTTCACACACATGCACACACACACAATCACACACATAAACATGCAAACTCATTCACACACATATACACATGCATGCACAGACATGCACACATGCAGACTGTCTCATTCGCCATTTTCGGGACTGATTAAAAGTAAGACAAAGATAAGTAGTGCATGGTTAGAAGACCAGAGATTAGGAGAGATAGCAACAATTAAATCATTACTAAAAGCTACAAAAGACAGGAAGCTGTGGAGAGCCATGACTGCCAAAACCTTGAAGGGAAACAGCGTATAGTTGAGCAAATTTCTTTAATCAGTCGCCATCATTATTGATGTAATCATACTTATTATAAAACCCAAGTTGTGTGTGTGTGTGTGTGTGTGTGTCTGTTCGTTTATATATTGGATCAGATTTCCTACATTTTTCAACCGATTTCAACAAAACTTCACAGGACTACGTAAAATTACCTTGCGGTGGTTCTAATAGTGCCAAAAATTGGAAAAACACAAGTGTTTTTGCACAAAATCAATTTGAAAACACGATTAAGAAGCATCGCTGTCGCGAGAATGAAAGAGGAACAACTCATATCGAGTTATACTTATTATAAAACCCAGGTTGTGTGTGTGTGTGTGTGGTGTGTGTGTGTGTGTGGTGTGTGTGTGTGTGTGTGTGTGTGTTCATTTATATATGGGATCGGATTTCCTACATTTTCTAATCGATTTCAACAAAACTTCACTTTTTTTTGGCAGGTAGTGTTTCTTATTGTCTTGGACACTTTTTTCTTTATTTTTACATTCAGAATGCTTTAAAAATTCCATTTACAAGACCATTGTTTATAATAAAATTCTATTCAATCGGTAGACTCATAACAATTGAAAAAATGTTTTTGTTTGAGTTTGGGTTTGACCAATTCGTAAAAAAAAAAAAAAAATATTTAAGACATGCGTGTCCGTCAACCTTAAACAATAATCTTTGTCAATTTTTTTTTCAGTCTTTATAATGGTCGATACTTAATCTATCTCTTACTGTTACATCCCCGGGCAACGCCGGGCTCTACTGCTAGTCATTGTTAAAAGCTACAAAAGACAGGAAGCAATAGAGAGCCATGACTGCTAAAACCTTGAAGGGAAACAGCGTATAGTTGAGCAAATTTATTTTATCAGTCGCCATCATCATTGCTGTAATAATTATTAAGTTTCTTCGTTTTCACACACATACATACACACAATCACAAACATAAACATGCAAACTCATTCACACATATACACATGCGTGCACACACGTACACACATATACATGCAAGCTATCTCTTTCGCGACTGATTAAAAGTAAGACAAAGACAAGTAGTGCATATTCTACCTAAATGTTTTGTGTAAATGGTTAGAAAAACAGAGATTAGTATAGATAGCGCCAATTAAATCATTATTAAGAGCTACAAAAGATAGGAAGTTGTGGAGAATCATGTTTGCCCATGTCCTCAATGTGCATGACACATACAAAAGAAGATATTTTTATAACTTAAACGCGTCCGTGTTTCATGACGTCTTCGTTTTTGATGGGTGTTCTGACAGCGTGGAGTTTTTCACGGAGGTTGCCCTTAATAACCTGTCAATGTGTTCCACGTTTGAATATTTATCTCTGTAAGATGTGGCATTCGGAAGATTCTCCATTCCACAACTTTCGAATAATCCAACGAGCACGTCTTTTGTTGGACGTGAAACATACACCAATTTCCATCAAACTCGACGCAACGTCTTCCAACTGCAGCTTTCTTTCGCCGCCATATTTCCAGCCAGTCAGCGTTTTTAATGTTTAAAGCGTTGTGGGAGACACCTAGGTATTTCTGTAAGGTCCGGCCGATTGGCCGTTATCCGCGTGGGGTTAGAGAGGGAAAAACTTACAGGAAGCAAAAGGAAACGTGGAGAACTAGATGCCGACGTATGTGACAACAATGTCAGATAATGGTTTCGCTTAGTGATGACACCAGAAGAGGATAGCTGTGTGATGGATGGGGGAAGATGGCGTTCGAACAACGGGAAAACGGTTTTGATGCGTACATAAATAAATGCGGGTGATGTTCTCATGTTAAATTGACGGCGAAGTTGAGTGCATGGAATATAAAGATACTGGATATTGGGTTCCAAGAAGCAGAGTTGGTATGTGTGTATTTAAGTAGAAGCGTTGTCGGATGCTATTGGTTTTGCGGTGAGTTGTACGGGAATGGCTACCGAATACTTATCTGTCTCTTTTCTTATTTTACAGATATCTGTCTTTCGTATCGATTAACCTTTACAATCGTTCGTCTCTCTTTTATCGTCTCTTTTATCTCTCTTTTTTCTTTTCTCACAATTTCTTCTATTTTATAGTGTCTTTTTTACCCACTTTCTTCATTTTCATCTTTCTTTTTTCTTTTTACTTTCTTTTTTTCTTTTTTCTTGTTTTCTTCTTTTTTCTTTCTTTCTTTTTACATCTTTCTTTTGTTCATTTTTCTTTCTTTCTTTCTTTCTTTTTCCCTCATTCTTTCTTTCTTTTTTCCTTCTTTCCTTCATCCCTTCTTTCTTTCTTTTTCCTTTCTCTCTTTCTTTCTTTTCTTTCTTTCGTGTTTCCTTCTTTCTTTCTTTCTTTTTCGTTCTTTCTTTCTTTTGTTCTTTTGTTCTTTTTCTTTCTTTCTATATTTTTCCTTCCTTCTTTCTTTCTTTCTTTTTTCTTCCTTTCTTTTTTCCTTCTTTCTTTCTTTCTTTCTTTCTTTCTTTCTCCTTCTTTCTTTTGTTCTTTTTTCTTTCTTTTTTCCTTCTTTCTTTCTTTCTTTCTTTCTTTCTTTCTTTCTTTCTTTCTTTCTTTCTTTCTTTCTGCCTTAGCGATATGTATTTTTTTCATTTCATTTCAATCCTTCTTTATTTTTTTATTTTTTCCCTTTTTCAATTTTTTCATTTTTTTCTTTCTTGTGTAAAATAGATAGACACGTGTTATATATTCGGAATAAATAATTATCATATGTAATTTTTTGTCACATTTTGGTAACTTCAATATCTTTTCGCCACACACACACACACACACACACACACACACACACACACACACACAAGCACGCACACATATATGTACATAAAGAGAGATAAAGAGAGAGAGAAAGAAACAAGAGAGAAAGAAATAAAGAGAGTGTTACAAATAGATGGTGAAATATTTATAGTGTCCTATTATATATATATATATATTAATGCTCTGTAAATATACATTGAGCACTATTTTGTAAAAATAAAAATATCTATAAGAACACCAGATTTTATATCTTACTGTTCTTTCTTTTATTTTTTTATATATATATATATATATATATATATATATATATATATATATATATATATATATATATATATAGCGAGATAGATAGATAGGAACAGAATGAGATAGTTAGATATAAACAGACTGACATTCATAGATATAAATACACTTAGAAATTACTACACTCAAAGATATAAATACACATTCATTGATATAAATACACTTAGATATAGAGATAGATATAAATAGACTCAGATAGACAGATAGATTGATGGATAGACAGATAGATTTGTAAACACCCAAATTTGAACAAATTATCAAATATTAGAATCTGTTTTAACATCACTTGTTCTTCGCCAGCTGAATCATTTTCATCGATTCCTTGCATTTAGTTAGTTCGCTAGCTGTAGGAATATTTAGATACGGACAGAATGAGATTGATTGACAAGAATACATAGAGAAATCAAACGATAGACAGATTGATAGAGAAGGAACAAATTAAAATAGATATTTAGTATACATATATATATATATATATATATATATATATATATATATATAGATATAGATATGAACAGGCTGAGATAGATCGACAAACATAGATAGATAGATAGATAGATAGATAGATAGATAGATAGATAGATAGATAGATAGATAAGGAAGGGACTAAATTAGATTGCCTGATATACATCGATAGACCGATCAACAAATATATATATATATATATATATATATATATATATATATATATAAACAAACTCTGATATAGAGAGCAGAGATAGCTAGGTCTGTAGATAGATAGATATTCAATTATTCATAGATACATTTTATATATATATATATATATATATATATTTATATTAAATTATTAATATATATATATATATATATATATATATATATATATATAGATAGATAGATAGATAGATAGATAGATACACCTAGTGAGCCAGACAAACCTACCTAGGTTTCACTTAAACGGATCGTCAGGGAAAGTTTGGCTAACGAGGCAAAGCGAAAAACATATTTATAGGATTTTTTTTTTTTGTCGAATAAATATTTATTTCCCCCCCCCGACTTAGGTTGTGTTTGTTTTTTTTTTGTTTTTGTCACGTGGTATGAAACCTAGGTAGGTTTGTCTGGCTCACTAGGTGTATCTAGGTTTGCTCTACGGTTGTATTGAGCTCTTTTGTTAGTTAGTTGTTACTCGTATCGGGGTTTTTTCTTTGGGCTTCAGACCTGCATTTGTGCCATTTTTTTGGCGACAGAAGGTCATGTTTGTAGCTCTTTCTTTTTTTAAAACCTTTTTTTCCCTCGAGATTGATTAGCAAATCAAAAATTCGAGGGTTTTCAAAAAGTCTAGTTATATATATATATATATATATATATATATATATATATATATATATATATAGAGAGAGAGAGAGAGAGAGAGAGGAGGAGAGGGAGAGAAAAGAGATCGATCGATCATCAAAATATATATATATATATATATATATACAGAAAAGCACTCTGATGGAACGAGCTAGATAGTTCACTAGATATAGAGATATTAAACTATTCATAGACACATTTTAATATATATATATATATATATATATATATATATATATATATATATATATATATATATATATATATATATATATATATATATGTATGTACATATATATATATATATTAATATTAAAATATTATTATACACACATATAAATATACATATATAGAGAGAGAGACAGAGAGAGAGAGATGAACAGATTGCGATCGACAAACATAAAATATATATATATGTATTGCAAACTCTGATATAAAGAGCTAGATTGCTATATATATATATATATATATATATATATATATATATATATATATATATATATATATATAAAATGCGCACTGATATAGCGAGCTATTTTGCTAGTTCTCTAGATACGTAGCTCTTAAAGTATTCGTAGTTGTGTAAAATTATCCATGTGATATATTCAGAATATTGGAAATGAAAACAATTTGATTTCTATATAAATGTCATGAGATGGTACGAGGAAATAATATTACTTTTCACGCTAGGAGGTCACTGGACACAGATGAGAAATGTCCACTTCTATAGACGAGCGACTGTAGGAAAGAATCACAAACAAAACTAGAAATGGCATATAATTTTGAAAAGAAAATAATATTGTGCTTTCTATTAAGATCTAAAATATAGGCCAGTCCGTCAGAGGAACTGTCATCTGTGGAAGGTCAAAGGTGAGACCACTAATTTAAAAGTAGGTGATGTGAAACGGAGAAGAGTCCTAGGATCACCTGGGAATTTAATTCAATCCTTAGTGATTGATCTGTCTTTTTTACAGTTTATCTTCCTTTTTCAGATTATTTAAAGCAAGGAAATAGTTCCAGATTGTAAGATTATTTTGGAGATAATAATGACTATCTGATAAATGTCTTGCAAATTAACTCATAATTATGGGGAAAGGAGATGCGTATTTGCTCAAAATTTAACATAATGAAACCAACTGGAAAAAGAATTCGGCTCTTCCATTATCTTGTCTTTTGTAGCGCTCAATAACTGTCCTTTCTTTGTTATCTCTATCTATAAAAGGCAGGATGTGTGTGTGTGTGTGTGTGTGTGTGTGTGTGTGTGTGTGTGTGTGTGTGTGTGTGTGTGTGTAACGAATGCACGGCCGCAATATTCGACGGATTTGCACCAAAATTTACCTGCACATGCCCCAAGTTAGCGGGAAGTCCAAGACCGTCTTTGCAATTCCCAACTCCCATCGATAGTAGAAATAATCGATTTTTTCATGCTTCTACGGCAGTTTTCATGTAGTTTTCTGGCCAGAGTGAGAGCCAATAGCTGGCTGCCACGAATAGGCAGGAAGATTCTATTGGCCAGCGTGAGAGCCAACAGCTGACTGACACGAATATTAACTAGCATGCTAGCATGCAAAAAAATTCGTCACAAGTGAGAAAAATTTAAATCTGCATGGCACTTTACTCCAGTTGGCTCATTCGCTTGCTTAAACTCAACGTTGATTCTGATTCCGCAGAACTGGGTTGGGAGTGAAAAAGTATTTGTTGTTAACATTCTTTTTTCATTCGGTTTTTCCAGTTACGAGTCCTTTTTTAAAGCTGATCGTTTTGTGTTCATTTTGTTTAGTTCTATTTTCCTAACAAATTGTAATGGTTAGTATATTAGTCTTTGCACGTTCCGAGATCTTAACATAACCGTCAATAATAGCAGATATTCAAAAAAACATCTTTCGGTCGACATACAGGTATATCGTCTCAAGTTTTTGATTTTATAAGGAAAAAAAACACATGCCTGATGATGAATAGAAGACTATTCGTAAGTACTAGCATTTTAACATCAAAAAAACTGAAAAACTACAGACAACAAGTTTTTCGACAAGGATCAAAACTCGCACTATGGATGAACAGGATTTTAATGCATATATTATGTTTTCTAGCGATTTTATCTGGTCCCAAATTAGAGCCTGTGTTACCTAAACAAAATAGACCAAACCCAGATATAAGAGAAACCCGGATATAAGAGACTTCTTCTCCGGTCCCGACAACTCTCTTATATCCGGGTTACACTGTATGTATATTTATATATTTTTAAATCAAATATGTGGTGCAGTTTAATTTAGAATACAATGAATCATTCATACAAAAATTAAATTCGTAAAGTTAACAATATAAAATGGCGAAATCCATTCGCTAACAAAATTTGAAAGGTGCATTAACCTACAAATCACTCGATAAATGTTATGATCCTTATTATTTTTTGTATGATTCATTGTAATATATATCTCTAAAGAGATTTTCGACAGCAATAGCTTAAAGTACACACGTACTTAATTTTAAATTTTTACGCATACACACATATATTTATATATGTATATATATTTTTTCTAAAGAATTAATGGTTTCATTTTTATTTCGGCATTTTATTATTTACACGTTATGTTTAGTGGATACCCGTATCTTAAAGAGACGCCTATTTTTATAATTTTATTTTGAATAGTGTCTATTACGTATATATATATATATATATATATATATATATATATATATAGATACACCTAGTGAGCCAGACAAACCTACCTAGGTTTCACCTAAACGGATCGTCAGGGAAAGTTTGGCTAACGAGGCAAAGAGAAACACATATTTATAGGTGATAGCTAAAATCATACCACGTGACAAAATAAAAAACAAAAAAACAAAAAACAAAAAACAACCTAAGTGGGGGGGGAAGTATTTATTCCAAAAAAAAAAAAAACCTCAGTGGAAAGTCAATAACGGGAAAACGTCTAATTTAGTAGCCAAGATTTTTTATGTCTACATACATTGAGAATTTCAGTTTTAGAGTTTAATAGCTGGTTAGGTTGATCATATAAAGCTATGGCTAATTTCTCCTCAGCACATAATTTGCAAAATTTTTGGCCTGCTTTATATTTTGGGCATTTTTTTAATATTTCCCATTTAAGGATGGGGTCTATATTATCTTGTTTGGTTTTCCATACGTAGGTAGATAGCGTGGTACTATGTTTAATTTTTGCATTCTTAAAACTACTCG